TGTATGCCTGTATTAATCATATGAAATACCATATCTGAAATTTTGGATTATGTTTTTACCATATATTCTGTTGCTTTGTAAGTAACTGTGTCAGTAGGTTCATACCAGCCTTTGTGATGAAGAGGATGATAAGGATGATAAAGGTTTATGTTAGTTTGTGTTATAGTTTGTAAGGAAAGTATCTTTACAGTCTGAAGTGACTTGATCTCTTTGGTCACACATTTTAGAATGCATTTTAAATAACTTCATTTAAATAGATAAGATATATTTGATTTTGGAGGTGTATAGAAGTAGCTCACAAATGATTCCATGAACTTCTAGTTCTTAAAAATTAAATAAGATCATTGCTTAATATGCACCTTAATATGCACATTTTCATTAAAACAAGCCTGATTTGAAATCATTTACCTACTACTTTAAGAAACAGGGGAAGTAATGAGAAATTAAATGTAATCTAGTTGGCTGTGGAAATAATGTTTGGTAACAATAGATACATTATTAAGAAAATTTTACTTTTCACATAACTAAATTACTAAAATGACACAATGTAGTCACATTCTTCCAGGAAAAGCAGATTGTAGCAGGAGGGACAATGTGCAGACATTACCACTTCTAGAATTTACTTGTGTCTAGTATTTTACATAGAGAAATTCTGCTTGATTTACAGACATCACTTAGAGCTACTATCTAGATTCCTGAAAAAAAGCTAATGCCTGAATAATATCCACAGGATTTTAGCATAAACATGTATAGTGTACTGTCATCTAGGAGCTAAACAACCTAATTTATTCTGGGATTTATTAGGTTTTTTTTTCTAGTTTTAGGCTAGAGTTTGTGGCCACAGTCTTCTGCTTGTTTCTATTTTTAATCCAAGGAGAAATGTAATAATATATTTTTTTAGTAAAATTCCATTAATCTGTCAGTAATATTAATGACATAAATCAATCATTCAATATTTTCTAGGCTACGATTTCTTGCAAGAAAAAGGGTAAGAAGAAAAAGCCCTGCCACTTTAATAAAGGCGCTGCTCAAATAGTTAAGTGTAAATCTGAGGGTGATTGGTTAAGATCCAGAAACCTTTTTATCTGTAGCTCAGATTCTGTGAACCCAAGACATCTTTGCAGTGTAGTACTTGACATCTAGTAACATTATAGTGTTTATTTCCAGGCTTGATGTTTGCGTAACTCAGAATCTTTTATTGCTTCGGGATTTGTCCAGTCTTGTTTTATTGTGTGATGTTTTGGGGTTGTTTTGTTTGTTTGTTTTTTCTGCATTACAGAGGAGTTAGAAAAATACAGGCAAGCACTATTTTACTGTTACTGATTTTATTATACTTAATTCCTGTATCAAGGCAATACGTAATTGAATTTTGAATGTGGAATCATAGAATATGAACATGTCCTTGATGGGCTTTCTATTATAGGCTTGCATGCAGAAAAATAAGGTTTGCAAAGCACTTTGAATAATAGCATATGAAGTACATTATGCACTCTTAATGATGAGACACTTTTGCACTGTAGGATCATTTTAGCATACATTACCCCATGAGCAGCTCAGTGCAAATTTTACACTGTGCTTAAAAGTAATGGCTATTTTTTTGGTGGCAGGAGCCTATAAGCCAGGATTTTACAAGAATCAGAGAAGAAAAGCAAACTCCTTAGCTTGCTTGGCTATAGGTGTCATACTCCATCATATACTTAACTGTGTTCAGCATATTTTTGTTTATTTATTATTCAGAAAGATAGTTGCTAGCAAATACTGTACCACGCCAAGAGAATTTCACCAGCACCAAGTCCTCCTAGTTTGTTTAACACTTTGTAGGTGTTTTCTCTAAGGAGAGAAAAATCTTTAGAAGGGGTCAGATGAAAGCATCTTAAGCTCTGTTATTACTGCATGGAGCTTGTTTATGTACGCAGTGTCTGTGTACAAAGACTGTGTCATTCATATGACTTCTGTTTCCTAAATGTTCCGATGTTCTCAAGCCTTGTTTCCTTAACCTTTTAAAGTTGAAAACAGATTTGATACTTTATTAAAACTTTTGTAAATCCTACAAACTCCAAAATAAATAGTCTGTAAACTAGAAAGACAAAAGTCATTATTTCTCTGAAGGAAAGTGCCCGGGAACACAAGTAGGGAGGTGGAAATTCATGAAAATCTCTACTTTTTAAAATAAATAAAATTGTTGCATTATTTTTATGTTGTTGCTCTTTTCACATATCTTCCCCATATAATCTTCCTCATGAGAAATGTTTCCATCTTTTCATTTATAATTTTAGAAGGAATTATGTAAGAATCTTGGTTGGATTATGCATAGTTTTGCATAACGGTCCAACAGTATTCATCCTAACAAAAATGTACTACTAACTTGCTAGTACCTGATCTCCTGAGTTGCTCTGTGTCTTTATCTCCCACTGCATCTGGCTGCAGGTTGGCAGTGATTGAGGGCTGCAGCCCTGGGTTAATAAAATGAGATATGTTTTTGAAGACATAGCTTCTCCTGCAGGGAAAAACTCCAGCTGCATTTTAAAAAGATGTGTAATTTGTGATTACAAGTATGGTTTGAATCCTATTATTTCAAGATTTTTATTTTGGACCATTAGTATTTCAGATGTCAAGCCCGGATTAACTAATAAACTTTTTTTGAATGCCAGCTAATAAACATTGTTTGGAAATTTTGTCATGTCACTTATAACTTCATTAAAGTAGCAACTCTAAGTCTGTTACTTGCAGCTGAGAGTACACAGTGTCTTTTGGACTAAAAAGTGAAATGAAAGGATTACCATATTAAACATAGAGCAAATTAAAAAATTAATATCTTAGTCTTTGAGTATTTCTTATTTCAGTAAAAGGCTTTAAATTCTTACATTATTGTGTCATTTTTATCAACTTAACAGTCTTTATTTTTTTATGAAGAAGTACAGTTTCACAGAACTCTTTTGTTTAAAACAATTTTCATTAACATCTTTACTCCCTTTTCATCACAACTTAGAATGATGCAGAAAAGGAATGTTTCTCATAGTCCATAATGATTTTATGACTATTCTTCCTATTGTGAGTTTAAAACATTGACTTGAACTGCACAAGGAGATTTTAAGCTATGTGTTTGAAACCAAAGAGTAGCTGTCTGCCCATTTTTTTGCATTCATATCACATAAGAGTCAAACGGACTTAGTAGTCACAATAAAATTATTCAGTGCTCAGTGTAGGAGGAGAAAGAATGGACTAACATGTCACACTAACACAACATCTGTGAGCAAGACTGTATCATAGTATGAGAACAATGTAGGCTGTTTTACCTAGAGAGAAAACTGGTACTCAGGATAGCAAGATACTGTCACATAGCAGGCATGCCGAGGCACTAACACTGCATCTTCCCACTGTGAGAGCTCAGAGCAACTGCCTCACCTTTATGGAAGATGCTCTGAATTGCTGTCACTGAGTAAGCAGCTCTCACCGAACTCCCAAAGATGTCTTCTCAGTGCTTGTACATAAGCAAAATAATGTCTGGTCCACAAGGCAGCATTAAGAGTAAGACCCTCAATTCAATTCAAGAAGCATATATTGAAAATGTTATTCAGGATGAAAAAGAAAAAAAAAAAAAAAAAAAAGGCTACAAATAATTGACTAAAAAAATGATGTACTGCTTCTGAAAATATGAGTGGCTAGAAGGTTTGCTGCTGCATCCGCTCCCCTTAAGCTGTGCCCTCCAGAACAGAGCCAGCCTCATGACAGCATTTAGTAAAGTTGGATGGGAACACATGAAAGTGTGAAAGAAGTTGACTGCAAAAACTGCAAAGATCTGTTCTACATTATTCTGCATTCTACATATTTATTCACTTAATCTGGAAATTGCTAGAAGTTCATAGCCATAATGAAGACTATAGAAAACAATGACCTAACTCACATCTATGAAAATCCAGCTGAAATGAAGAGCTGAATAAATTGAATAGCACTGGTTTAAAACAGTGGCTCTCTAATTATGGTCTTGCAAGTTTGTAATCTTCAGAGTTTAAAGTGTACAGTATGTTCAACTACCATTTTGAATGTAAAGGTGAAGCCAGAAACACTTTGGATATTTGATAGTGATCCAACAAGTTCTTTTCATTTTGGCTTAAAATGCAACTTTGTCTGAATATCCCACAGCATAATTAGAAAATTGAGAAATTGGGAGATCTTTGTGTTGATAAGGTCAAGAAGTTGTCTAGAGGTGGAGTTGGTCATTTCTGTAGAGGCAAAGTTAAATACCAAATGATTACACATATATGTCTTGAGTTGAACATAGGTTAACACTAGCTTATATCACTCTACAGAGCTTTAATATTGCTTTTGAGTGTAAAAAGGCAATGTAACGCAAAGATGGCCATGGTTGTTAATGGCTTGTATTAGCTGGAAGCTATAAAATCATCCTAGTACTCTGTTAGTGCTGGAATAATAATTTACCAAGACAATTACCACATGGTGGAATTTTTTGCTGCTCTAATTCAGCGTTATTAATAATGAATAAAATTGCAATTTTCTCAGGTTGCTAGGGGCAGTGGGGAATTATTTCAATGAATATTTCAGCACATTAGTTTAATCATAGTTCCACAAAATTCAAGTGGGCAATATTTTATAGTTCTAAGTTCAGTCTGCTAAGGGACCATAGTCATTAAATTGCAAACTATTTGCGCTGAAGTCCATTCTATGATTTACAAGCCTTGTTAAAAACACTGTAAAAGAAAGCAAGCTGTGCCATTAATACTTGTAATTTGATGCTGCATTTGTTAATGGGCTCAGTGTGATTAATGTTTTTAGCAGCAGGCAGAACATTCTGAGACAGGCAGTGCTGAGGTTTATAATACATAAATGCATGTAAAGAAATGTTAGAATATTGTAAGTTTTAGTACTATATGTTTTTACAAGATTATATTCCTGAAACAGAAAAGCAGCAGTGAAATTATAGTATGTAAATACGGTTCAAGCTGTGGTAGGTGCTGATGTGTGTGTTCTTTATTTCATAGCCAACTGCACGACTTCTGGCGCTTGGATTACTGGGAAGACGATCTGCGCCGGCGGAGGCGATTTGTTCGCAATGCTTTTGGATCTACTCATTCTGATGCTCTTCTGAAAGCTGCTGTGGAATATGGTTAGTACTAAGTCCTGCTTAAAAATATATCTTAACGATGTTTTCTTCGTGTCCATGAATCCCTGAGAATTATGTCCCTTCTTTTATAAGGATCGCTCTAATTCCTAGAGCAACATTTTCTTAGAAAAGGAATTCTTTCAATTCTCATACTTCAGTGAACCAGAAGATGTGAGCTTGTGAGCTGTTAAATTTTCTAATCCTCAAGGGGTTCACATGGCATTCCCAGACACTAATTTTGAGACGCTGGTAAAAGTAACCAAACTTGTCTCTCCCAAGTGACAGAATGAAACTGTTAGGCCATCAAAATAATGTGTCATAACAGTTCCGTTGGAGACCTCTCATGAATAAGGAATTAACTGCTTTTAAAATGTATCAGATGTTTTTATCTTGGCGTGAATAGTCTTAGCCAAAAATATATTATTTCTGCAGATAATGAAATGCGCAACAACTTGTTTAAAAATATGTATTTTGAGGATGCTTGTGATGGAATAGATTAGTGGCCTCATAGGAGATAGTCTTAGAATTTAAGAATTAGATGATGATAGATTATTGTGGAGAGATAACTGGAGTATGAAAGAGGAATGAGAAACACTCTTAGAAATTGCCTTATAACATCCAAAAGTTTCATGTATTTTACTGTCTTCTGTTCAACAGACTGAACCTGAGTACTCCAAAGAACTAAAGTACATTTACTTCTCAGCCTTAATCTCTGCAGCCCTCTATCAAAGATGGGGGATATTTTGAAGAATACTAAGATGCTTTTCTGTTATTTTTCTTTAATTTGTAGTAGTGGGGAAAAAAAAAAAAAAAAAAAAAAGAAAAAAGAAAAAAGAAAACCACCTAGGATTCTTTAGCATTTTGCAGTGAAATTTTACGTCATATATGAAAAACTGAGAAAAGGGGAGTAATTTGCCCAAAGCAAGTTAAATCTTTCAGTTGACATGCAGCCAAGGGCTAATGGTGCCAGAGGTTCTGAATATGATAGATATAAAGCTAACCCTACATATTTCACCAGCTTTGCAGGTTGCTGAAGCAAATACCGGCGATTCAAAGAAGGTTAAACATATGAATATCTGCATGTGCAGTTTTACTAGCTAGTGTAATTTAATACTTATTTTAATGTAAAATAAGGTTGTCATGTGCAGAACTTCAACTGTTCACCAGTTGGGTTAGGGAAGTCATTTCCCCTAGGAGTACACTTGCCTCATACACATTTGACAAAAGGTTATTTTATCCACAGCCTTCCAAAATGTCAAAATAGAGATCTTATCAGAAGCAGATGCAGAAGTGTGCTAATTTCTGTGCTGCTTTTGGAAGAAAAATAATCATCAAAACTATGTATGAGCTTTCTGCACTATTCAGGCATTAAAACTCTTTAAAAATACTGTAATTTTAGTAATTTTAATTTTAGGTATCAGACTAGCATAAAAACAGGAAGAAATCTGACTCAGAAGCTATCATGAAGTTTTAAGTCTTCATACTGTCCACATTCCATTTACATAAGCAGCCTTTTTTCTTGCCTTTATATTAGGAATATTTTATCATGAGGATCAGATCGCACTCAGAATATGCTGGAAGTGTTAGGGCTTTTTTTGCTTTGTTTTGTTTTATGAAAGCTATAATACAAGTTGCACTTTAATTGCTTCCACATACTGCAAAGATTGAGTCTGTTAAAGTAGTTTTTGAGTTATAGTATTTCAGTGGAGTTGACAGATGCCCAGTATAGTAGAGCTAGCCTGCGAGATAAACCCGTAACCAAAAGAAGCAGACAAGCTGAAGGCGTTATTGTTTCTTACCATATTATTTCTATGTAGTTTCTCACTACTTACCTGTAAGTGCATTCAAAATACAGGAAAATTAAAAGCTCAGGTATTTTTGAAGGTAGTATGCATCAAATGTACTGATTGCATAGAAGTTTCAAGAGACAAAAGTTTCAGGAAGATTAAAATAAAAAATTCCAAGCTTAAATTTTTCATGTATTTATCAAAATTAACTTGGAATTTTAAAGCAGCAGCAGGCTTTGAAGTTGTAATTCATGGATTCTATCTACATGTACTTACTTTTCAGAGGCTAAGCCTTTGGATTTTAACACTAAAACTTTCAGCTGACCTTTCGCTGTAAGAAAACATCCTTAACACTGATGTTATTTTTATGCCTCTTGGTGTTACTAATGAGTTGAATAATTTATGAGGTTGTCATGTGAAAAGGATTTGGTGCAGTTTGATGTACTTTTAGCCTCTGGTGTTGGAATGTGATTAATAAAGAGCTGGAGGCAGATTTTTTTTATTTTTTTTTTTTTTCTGCAGGGTTTAACCTTCATTGTAATTTTTTATTAGCTTTGTTTTGATAATTCTGTTTGGAACAATTTGATAATGAAGTGCCCCCAGCTTCCACAGCTAAGCTTGATATCAGAATATAGAAAGAATTTAAGGCATTTTTATAAATTGTTCTGCATCCTTTTCCAGCAATCGATTTTTTTTTTTCTTGACCTCAAATACTTTGTTTGTGAGAAATAAACTGTTAATCAAAGCAACATTTGTTAGGCTTTTGTTATATTAATAGCAGTTTTTCATCTTGACTGATACCCCTAGCACAAGAAAATCTATTTTGAGCATCAGTAAAATGGTGGAAACATCTTATAAGTTTTTGTTATCTACATTGACTGTCAGTTATCATTTAGGAATTTGTGCATTAATATTGCAGTAGAGGAATGTATAGTCAAAGCTAAGTAAGCAAGCTCCTCCATATCTACGATCAAAGGCATCAGCTTAAATAGGTCTGATCAGGCATTGCAGAAGAGGGCAGGCAGTTTCAGCTGAGCAAAAATCACAGAGCAAAGATGACAAAATTAATCAATCATTTCTTTGGCAGTAAATAATAAGATATGCTGAGGATTGCAGATAAGAGAATTTCCAGATTCCTTGGAGACGTGCCTGCTTAACACCTGATATATCTAAGTTTGTACAGCCATCAAGATGACCTTGATAAACAAAAAAAGTGCTCTACAGCTACTCTAGTACTAAATCAGTGTTGATGCTGGATTTGTGGATAATGTGATTATATAACACTCACAGTCATCAAAGAATAGAAAATTCTTGGAAATGAAAACCATGTCTGTGATTTATATGTTTGTTTTAGAAAAGAAACAACAAATGCTAAATTATGTCTTGAAGGGCTTTAAAATGAAGTGTTAAATTTAGCTTCTTACTGTAGGAAGCATTATTTGTTATCTGCTGCATGGCAGTCATATTTTCAAAAAAATTCTGCTACAAGGCATATGGTAAGGCTTCTATACATTTAACTACAGGATGTTTCTTAGCAATTCTATGCTTGTTCAGATGTCTGTTTTTCATGAAATATACTTATGGGTATGTGTATGTATGTTCATAGGAGTATATAGGGGTGTGTGTGTGTATGTGTTCAAAGTACTTGGCAAGTAAAAGCATTTCAAAACTGAAGATTTTTTAACACATTCCTGTGGCTATATTCTTAGCTATCCTATGAGACTGTGGGCTTATCAGAGTCATAGCAACATTTCCAGGAGATTCACTGGATAATTTTTTTCCGTTAGGATTAGTCTCTTCCATTTCTAGCTATTATTTGATTTTAGCACTGGATTTTACGTCTATTTCATATCTAGTTGTAAAACTCAAGCACAATTATTTCAGCACTGTATCTGCTGTTCTCTTTTGTTTTAGTTAAATTCTTACTTGAATAGATCCAAAGATTCATTTCTACCTCTTGTGAAGCTGAAGAGGTATTACTTCCTGTATTATCAAAGTGCAAGGTATAAACTGAGCTTTGGAACTACTGAAAGATTTTTAGTTATGATTTTATAATATCAGTGGATTTTAAACAGTTCTTATTTTAAGTTTACATGGAGTTTCAATGTAATTTAACAAAAAAATTAATTGAAATTGGGAATTAAAAAGAGGGGGGAAGAAAAGTTTGTGCAAGAGATTATAGATTCTATTTCTCTTCCCCAAATTTTGCTACCAATAAATGCATAAAATATACAGACATGACCCAATTCACAGTGATTCTGTACATGTGATGAAAGAACTGTCTCTTCCAGTTAATCACCTTAACAGTTTACAGTCACTGGATATTAGTATAGATGAGACACTGCTGTACAGCTGTGGACAGTGAAATAGAGTAATATTCTACAGAGGTCAATTTAAGAGCAAAGTAGTGTATTTATTATCTTTGGTCCTTCAGCCTTTGGAGACTATGTTCCATAGACCATTTGTGTTAGAAGGGATCCAAGAAAAGCCACATTTTCTTGTTTGCAATGGATGCATGAACATGAGGAACTGTGTGTCCATGCTCTAAACATAGATATGTAAGCCGGTCAAACTGGTCAACTATTTCTAGCCTCAGGAATATTTGGCCTGTTGAGCTGATTATCATGACAGATAAAAAAACACATTTATAATGTAGTATGTGATATGTGCAGGTTTTGAAACAAGGCTACAGATACAGGTTGTATATGCATTACAGTGATTGATTTTGAATTTGCATATTTTAAGTTACTCATTCCATAATATAATAGGACATTTAATTAGCAACCTTATTTCAAGAGCAGTTCTAACTGCTGTATCTTACTCCTTCTGGCAGTTGTTATCACTACTCTATGTTTCAATAAATGCTATGTATGCTTATCATCAGAAATATGGTTTGATTATACAAACAGAGTTAAAAAGCATCAACTTATGAAATCTGAAATGTTCAAATCTAAAGTCTACATTCATGAAATCAGCTGGAGTTCAACAGATTTTCAAAGAATTGCAGTCAGGATTCCTTCAGGCTGCTGAAGGACTTATATTCCTAGAGCAGTTAGATTCAAGCAGGTGCTAACTTAAAAGATGTTTGGATTCCCTGCTGTGGAACTGGAAGCCTGAAATCCATTGGAACTTCTAAACAGACCAGGGCTGTCTTCAGAACAGAGAATCTGGCTGCCCCTTGGGCCCTAAATCAATATTAATTTTGGGAGGATCCTC